CTTGTACTACTGATGTTCCTCAACTTCGCGCTTTCATTGTTACTAGATAAGAATATTAAACATCTCCCCATCAAAAAAAACTGAACAGGCATTAAAATGTATCCACTCAGCCATTGCTTGAGTTAGGTTGGCTGCCTACTTCAGAGATCAGTCGAGTGAAGGATGAATTATGGACGTGTCTTGGTGCCCACATCGCCTATTTCCATATTTTCATAACTTGCACACAGTGCTGCTGAATATGCAGTTACTAGCTCCGATGGTTATTGTCCTTAACTGTTTATGAGGATCTAACTCAAACTTAAAGGAACACTATAGTGTCATAAATACAAAGGTGTATTTCTGACACTATAGGTGTGAAAACACTGTTTAGGTGTCTGGATCCCCTTGCACCCATTGAAAAAATTAGTTCACTTACCTTTTTCCAGCTCATTGCAGGTCTCAACGAAGCCAGACCCGCCCACACTCTGTCTACTTGGCTGAGATGATCAATTTTGATGATCTCAGTTAATACAATAGGAAATGGGGTTCAGAGAAGCAACACCTTCAGAATGTCCTCAAATCCAAATAGGTGTGGAGCAAGATGTAAGATAAGAGGACAAAGGAACCGAATATAGTGTAGTACTGTAGCTGCAGTTATTCTGGTAACTATAGTGTCCCTTTAAGAAAATGGCTTGCTTTGGTGTGTTACAGATGCAAACCTCATTTTCTAAATTAATTTTGTGAACAAACACAATGCCATCCTGCCCTAAAAGGGACATCAGGTTATCAACATGAACTAATCTATACATTGAGAAAAAAATGCAGGGGAAGCTGCAATTGATGCAAGAAGTGTTGCAGTAAACATGTAGCTTGGGTATTTCCTGCAACCGTCTCCTGGCCTCACCCATCTCCGAAGAGTGTAAGAGGGAAGACTGCTGCCTGGGGATAAATGAGGCTGGCAGGGGCCCAGTGCTCAGTCCTATGGTTTATGTCCTGTGTCAACGTAAAAAGCAATCGAATGAGCTGAAAGTGGCAGATTCCAAGACACTCAATTAATCTGAGAGGGGACATCTGTTTAATAAGTTAAATACTACAGCAGACTTCATTGGTTGGGCTTTGCACATACTGTCCCCTAACATAATTTCTACCAGCATGTCACAAAGAGCAAAACACAATGTAAATGCCTTATCATATGACATTGGTCTAATTAAAGGACGACTATAGTCACCCAGACCACTTCAGCTTAATGAAGTGGTCTAGGTGCCAGGTCCCCCAGGTTTTAACCCTTCAGATGTAAACATAGTTTCAGAGAACTGCTATGTTTATATTGCAGGGTTAATCGAGCCTCATGGCTGTCTTCCTGAGAGCCACTAGAGGCGCTTCCACGAAGTTCAATGTGAAAATCGCATTGAGCACACAGAAAGTCCATAGCAAAGCATTGAGTAATGCTTTCCTATGGGCAGGTTTTTAATGCGCATTTGGCTCCACTCGGGAGCTGACGTCGGAGGGGGAGGATCATGGATTAAGGTAAGTGCCTTAAGGGGTTTTAACCCCTTCAGCCCTGGGGCAGGGAGGCCCTGAGGGTGGAGTGGACCTAAGAACTATATTGTGTCAGGAAAACGAGTTTGTTTTACTGGCACTATAGTGGTTCTTTAAACATGCTCTAGATACAGGTGTTCAGCTGAAAGACATGTTTGTAGATACAGGGTCTTCTGCAGAGAAATACCAGGAAAAACTGAAACACAGATTTTCAGAGCTGGATGTCACTGTGAGACCGAATGCTGATTAATTTTTTCCTGTTGTTAGTGCAGTAAGTATCTGTGCAAAGGTGGTACAAGACAGAGTGGTAAAAGAGTGGAAGTTCTTGGAGGATTTGGGGGATATTGATATGGATTATGGCTCCAGCTATCCAAACAACCAAAATGACCAAAAGACAAAGGAAAGTTTGTCAGGTTTAGCTAGATTACAGCCCAAGCCATCCTGGACAGAAGTGCTGCCCCAGTGGTCTAGGAAGATGAGGAGGAGGATGGTGCACCAAGTAAATCCCAGGCTGTTCTCTTACTTTACAACCCACAAGGAAGCTGTCAAACCCAAGAGACACCGGTTCTTCCAAGAGAGACTTCTGGAGCCTCTGTCTGAGTTGTAGAACCTTTGAAGTGTTTCAGTGAGTTTGTGCTAATTAATAGGATGGTTCCTGATCTATTTTCTTGATCATAAACAATTGTTTCAGTTTCATGAAGGTGCAATACTCTTATTGTCTGTCATGGGTCTGAGAGAACAACCCAGAACTATGCGTCTTCTACCCAAGAGCTTTATTTGTACGTCACACCTACTACTAAGATGAGACGGTTGTTTTCTTTCATCTTGTGAAGATGTGACAGTACCATTTAACCTGAAATAATGGTAGATGCTTGTAACAGATTGCCTGGCACCCCGACTGGGTACCTCTATTGACGGATGCTCCCACTGGCTGCCACCACGTGTTCGAATGTCGAATAGTGGCCTCTTAGACTGTTCGGGAGTTCGAAGAACCAAATGTTTAAAGTCCCAATAGGCACAAATAGGGTCTCTCAGTCAAAATAAATTAAAGGGGCCATAGTCACAGGGCAAGAGGCTGGCCATCGGTCCTCTCCGAAAACCAGTGGTGAAGTTGCTTTCGTCACAATGCTAAAGAACTGTTCCGATCAGTTTATTCCCTTACCGTGGGTAAACCAATTTGCCTCCCTTCCCTGTTACGGGGTGGAAGAAGCTATTTTTGTCATTACCAGTTTTGTGCAAGATCTGTATCTTTAATAAAACTCTGCATCTGGATCTTTAATAAAACTCTTTAAAAAATGCTGCCTCTTGGCTACGTGGTGAATTTGTATGTGCATACTATGGGCATGTTCAGTAAATATGAAACCTCAAATAATAGAATGTTATCAGATCAATAGCATGTTAAACTTTATAGTTTGCATGTAAAGATATTTCTGTGTTACCGTCAATGACAATTGTGGCAAGTGTCCTAAATTGTATCATTTATCAGCAAGTACAGTAGCTATGGTAGTATATTGCAAATATGTTTTTGCAATGTCTTGTTTTTTTCTGTATGGACATTTAACAAAATAATTATTGGAAGTGGGGTTAAAAAGTTTAAATATAACATAAAGCACATGCATTATTTTTGAAAATTTAGGGTGATGTCAGATATAAACAAGATAAAATGGACTGCCTTCTGGATCAACAACTATGTGTTCTTGTTGAATGGGTAACTAAGTAAACATTAGCAAGGACAGTTTTCTTTGAATCATAAAGAGATTAGTTGCATAAATCAACAATACAGGGCATGGTACCCAGAAAAATCCCAATGCATTTCATAGGTAATTCTACTACTTAACCTGTCACAATACTATGACCCATTGGATTGCTACATACAGAGAAAGGTCTATGAAAATAAATGTGTATTACTGATACTCTCAAAATGATACTGAATACACAGCAAAAATACAGCAAATGATACTCTCAGGCAGGCAACTGATAGGCAAGTGATACACACTTGTGTTTAATAGTTTTATTGATGCTGATATGCATCCATAGACATTCCTTCTGTGTGCCACTGCATGTGCATGGGTGATGCTTTGGTGTACTTGTCCTTGGGTGCTTCAAAACATGCAACATCACTTGTTCCTGCACTGGTAGAGTGGCCATAAATACATGGCGGGTAATGTCCTGTGCCAAGTGCTACAAAAGCTTTCTAAAAACAAGGCAATGGCTTTGGTGTACAAAAATGGCACCAGTGGCACAGGCAGTGTGACATAGGCATGACACTTAGAATATAACATTGGACTTGGAATAAAAGTGGGAATTTTAGAGGTTAATGCTGCCATCTAACAGTAGGCACATTCTTTGAAAACTCATGTCAGATAGCCTCTTGTGTGTCAAGTTTAGTACCATATCATCTTTCAAGCCAACAGCATGTATAGGGAAAAAAAGGAAATTGGTGATACCATGTTAACTACAGCACGATTTCAGGAAAATGTATGATGCAGTTTGTATTCACCTTCAGGCTCTTATTATTGGCCCACAACAGACTGCAGACAGGCACAGACAGGACTATTACTGTATTATGCAGAAAAATCAATAACAAACCTGATTATATTCTTAACAAAAAATACATATCTATCGCTGTATATAATGCTATTCATGTACACATTTCAATCAAATGCGGAGGATGAGGAAGTGGGAGGCAGAGGTAGAAGAAATTATTAAAAGTTACAGAAGGAAGAAAAATATACCAACATGCAGATGCAGACACACAAACAAACGTATTCCTGTTTGTAAAAACACACATTTGCATGTTGTTGTCATTGCTGTGGCAGTGCTCCGAATCCAGTCTCATAGGCTCTAATTAATCATTTCTTTTTATAACCTGATGTCCCCTCTTGTGGGTGCCAAGTTATAAATCAAAACAAAGATTCACTAATTGAATGATTGATTCATTGACAGGTAACAACTCAGGTTAAACTATTTAGGATTTGTATTTTGCATACACTGAAACTCCTTTACATTAAATTGTTAAACTCCAAGCACATGCATGCTTTGACTGCACTCCAACATGGGGTGATTAATTTTTGTTGCTACCTAACTGGTATTTACTGGGCAGCCAACTGATAATGAGCAATTTATCACTGACTGGAGATTTGTAGTAGGTAATATTCACTTTGTGTTAAAAGCCACAAAAAAAGATAATTGCAGCAATGCTCATTAGGGGATGGATGGATGGATGGATGGATAGATAGATGGATAGATAATAGACAGACAGACAGATGGACGGATGGATGGATGGATAGATAGATAATAGACAGACAAACAGACAAACCAACAGGCAGACAGACAGACAGCTAGATAGATAATAGACAGACAGATAGATAGATAATAGACAGATAGATAGATAGATATATAGATAGATAGATAGATAGATAGATAGATAGATAGATAAATAGATGGATGGATAGATAGTTAGATAATAGACAGACAGATAGATAGATAATAGACAGATCTGTCTGTCTGTCTATTATCTATCTCTCTCTCTATATATATAGAGAGATAGATAATAGACAGACAGACAGACAGATAACAGACAGACAGACAGATAGACGGATAGATAGATGGATAGATAGATGAATAGATGGATGGATAGATAGATAGATAATAGACAGACATATAATAGACAGACATATATATATATATATATATATATATATATATATATATATATATAGATAGATAGATAGATAGATAATAGACAGACAGACAGACAGATAACAGACAGACAGACAGATAGATAGACAGACGGATAGATAGATGGATAGATGGATGGATAGATAGATAATAGACAGACAGATGGATAGATAGATAATAGACAGACAGACAGATAGACAGATAGATAGACGGATAGATAGATAATCTATCTATCTGTCTGTCTGTCTATCTATCTATCAATCCATCTATTTATTTGATAGATGATAGATAGATAGATAGATAGATAGACAGATAGATGATAGATAGATAGATAGATAGACGGATAGATAGATAGATAGATAGATAGATAGATAGATAGATAAGGAATGTGCTGTTAATACTCCTTTTTAACATTCCAGGGCACTTGTGTTGCATTCTGTAGCACCGGATGGATCTTCATGTTATTACATTCAGAGAGCAATATATCAATGCCAGCACAACAAAAACACCAATTCTGGAACAATATCAAGCTCCCGATGATCTCTTAAGTCCTGCAAATAACCACTTACATCACAGATAGAGGGCATTTGATGGGGTGCTGTCTCCGATAGACGGGGTCAAGCTCCTTGACAATATGGGGATTATTTTAAATCCCGACACATTACCACTCTTATTCTCAATCACCCCTCTTAAAATCAAAAGCATGTAAACCTCAAAAAGCAATCACTCTCACAAATACTGTGCTCCAAACGGTAATCACACATATTGTAATCTTTAAATATATATTTGTGTAGGTTCTTTGCTACAACTGTGCACCGATAGGGTTAACCAAGCTAGTTAGCCCTTCCACTGGTACATGCCACATATATACCTTGTAAAAGTATTTGAATTTAAAGCAGCAGTACCTTTTTTGTGATCTAAGATTACAATGAATAATAGATGACTCACTGGACGTAGGAAAATTCTGTCCTTCTAGCTATTGTTGGGGTAGCTAAAATGTTTAGACTTGTTTTTCATCAACAACAGAAGGAGCACAAATGCCTAAGCTTATAGCATGTCTAACAAGTAATGCTATGCATGTAATATCATATCTTGAATTTTAAGATAGGATTAGGAATTCACTATAACTACACATTAATCATTACATTGCAAAAAAGGCTTTGAGACAGCCACAATAGTTCATTCATTACTCTAATCTTAGAGACAGAAATTGTGTGCTCATGTGTCACTGTATAATTTGTTCTGTGTATAGTGGTCTATTACAAGGTATCACTGTCGACTAATTATATTACAGAAGGCCCATGGAAGCAGAAAGATATTTCTTTATCTTAGAACACTGGTTGTAGATTAAGCTTCACTGTACAGACCATTTGTAACTTTACAGGTCTCTCATTTAGTGTCATATCACCAGTGTATCTCATCAGTATCTCTGATGAAGTGCCAGTGAGACAGGAAACGCGTCAGTGGTGATCTTTATACTCTCCCCTGTATGTCTATTTTACTTGAATAAAGGTATTTATTTATCCTGATCATTGCATTTTTTTCTTTGCATATGGAAAATATCTGCCAATCCAGATTTTCAGTGCTTTCTCAACAAGTCATTAAACCATCAAAAATCATGCCCAATTTGTGTAAATGAGTGATCAAAGCCTATGTGTGCATTAGAAAGTTAATACATATTTACAGAAACAGATTTCAGGAAAGTTTACTTTTTACTTGTGCAGGCTCATTATAATGTGAGCACTATCTCCAAACCATGCTGACATCACAATTGGAGAGAAGATATCCTCATCTCTATATGTACAAACACACTGCTCAGAAGTGTCTTCTTATGAAAAACTTACAGGGTTACTCACAAAACTGAGAATACAAAGTGAATTCTAAGTGAATTAAAATTTTAAGGCCAAAATAGTTGATTTGGAAATATTCTCTAAGTCAGCTGGGCTTCATGTTCGGCTTCTTTGGCCTAATATTTGAAATTCACTTTGACGTCTCACTTTATTGAATAACCCTGTTAATTTCAAAACAGTAATATAGTTATATATATATATGTATATATAATTAGGTTATGGTGGGGAAAAATTGTGATTGAAAACCCCTTCCACCTGAAGTATGTGGATAGTATTGTATTGTATTAACTATGTATATATATATATATATATATATAGAAACAGGAGAAAGTCAGGATGCACACACGAGTTATCAAAATAGTGCAATGTGATTTAATCAATAATCAGGCATACTGCAAATGAAATCAACGTTTCGACCCCTGCGGGTCTTTTTCAAGATATATACATTATGCATTTGGACAGAGTGGAATAGCAGTGCATGCTGTACCTTTTCACCTTAATTAGCACTTTGTCAACAACCGCTGAGCTTTTAACAAAGTACTGTTTTCAACTGAGCAGTGTGTTTACACATATAGAGATGCAGATACCGTATCTCCAATCGTGATGACAAGGTGGTCTAGAGATATTGTTCTCGTTTTAGGGATTATGTGTGTAAGCAAGCTTTGCTTTGGGAATCTATAAGGATTTATCATGTTACTAAGGAGAACATTAGAGTTACATATATTAAGGTTAACATCTTTACATGCTGGCATTTATTATTAAAAATAAATGGTATAATAAATGTATCATTACAGCTAAATGTTCAAGCTGTTATGAAATAATTCAGAGTACTGCCTAACACCACAGTTGGACAATTGTTAGCAACATGAGATTTATTTATATTGTAGCTGGTTTAACGTGACTGTCAGTGGGTGGACAACCCAATGCCTCTATTCCATCAGCAACGAGGGAAAAAATCAGGGAGTCTACAGTTGCATACATACAGGATGTCCTGGTCAGGGACATTCTCCATTTATTTTGGCCATCATTCTTTCATCTCCAGGGCACGTTTTAGCTTTCAGACATCAAGTGTTAGATGGTCCAAAATACTTATATAATATATATAATATAGTTATATTGTTCTATTCTATATGTCTAGTGTTCTATTGTGATAAATCTCACCAAAAACTAAAAGTATGAGTGAAGCACTCAAAAATAATGTAGCATGCAAGAAACATCGGCCACATACCAAACACCACAACACAGCCCCAAACTGCATAGAGCAACCCCAGCGCAGGTCCGCAAGCGTACCATCAAGCTCTATGACCAAACCCCGGGCTGTCCACACGCATGCCGAAAGCTAGTGCTCCCACAGCCGCACCAGCCAACTTCACACTGTTACAACCCTAAGTGCCCAACGAATACAATCCTCACACAGTTATAACGCTATGTGCCCAACGAATAGTATCTTTACACAGATATAATGCTATGCACCCAACGTATAGAATCTTCACACTGTTATAATGCTAATGTGCTCAACGTATAATATCTACACACTGTTATAACGCGGTGTGCCCAACGAATAATATCTTCACACTGTTATAGTGCTATGGACCCAACGAATAGTATCTTCACACTGTTATAATGCTATGTGCCCAACAAATAGTATCTTCACACTGTTATATTAACACTAACACTGTTCCTAGCCTATCACAACATGTATATAAAAATGTGCAACTCCTTTTAATGCCACTGTGGAAAACAAGGTTCTATTCATGTGTGCTGTTGAGGCACTTGACACATGTTTGTAACTACCTAAGCACAGAAAAATAAAGAATTAAAAACAATAAAAATAAATAATGTAGCACGTACCCCTTAATCCACCGGGGTACCATAAACATAAGTAAAATAAACACAGAACGAGACGCAAATAATAGAGCAATACTATAAAATATGACATATATTAAATGTGCGGTGGGGAGTAGTGTACACTCACATTTGTAGGAGCCTTTTTTGGAAACAGGGTCTAAACAAATGGGCTTCTGTGCCTTTAAAGTGTCAACAATACCTTCTTGGACAACTGTATAACATATTCTTGCAACAGGGGCAAAATGGAAAACAACCTTGGAGTAATATCATATATATATCCGTGAGCACTCAAAAATAATGTAGCACTTACCCCTTAATCTACCGGGGTACCATAAGTATATGTCAAATAAACACAGAAAGAGACACAAATAATAGTGCAATAATATAAAATATGAAATATATAAAAGGTGCTCAGAAAATGTGGTGAGTAGTCGACACTCACATTTGTAGGAGCCTTTTTTGGAAATGGGCTCTTCTGTGCATGTAAAACGGTAACACCAACTTCTTAGACAACTGTATAACGTAATCCTCCAACAGGGGCAGAGAAAAGAGACAAAATTTAAAACAACCTTGGTGCAATATCATATATATATCACCATAAGGTATACTATTTTTAAGGATGTATGTTCACCTTATTAGGAGCCTATAGTATCCTGGCTCCAAGTATTACAGGTATGGTGTCCCTTCCCTTCCTTTTTGAAAATCCTTCTGGACCCAGGATGCAGTGTAAGAGGCAACCAACAAATATATGCAGAATAATCAAATGTATTAAAACAACAAATAAAAAGCATAAAAATAGGATAAGTAACAAAAAAAGGCTCCTGCAAATGTTGTCCACTACTCACCACCATTTCTGAGCACATTTTATAAGTATCATACAATATTGCACTATTATTTCCCTTTTTTTTGTTTATTTTACATTTACTTATGGTACTCTGGTGCATTAAGGTGTAAGTGCTACATATCTTAGGTATTTTATTTTTAGTGGAATTTAACAAAGATGTCCACAAAGTGTTTGAGCTGCTGTTATTAGATAAGTTTACATTATTTAATTAGGCAGCATTTATATATCTTTTTCTGTGTTTACTTTAAATGGTAGATTGAGACTTATCTGTTGGCCACCACAGCCTTACATTCTACTTGAAAAACAAGTATTGTCATTACGTTTTTTTTTTTTATTTATCAACGTCAACATTTGAAATCTAGATGTGTGAAAGTCTGAACATGAAGACTCATTTTTTAAGTTGAATCATATGATATCTTGATATTACATGCCTTTCTTTCTTTCTTTCTTCTATCCATCCATCCATATCTCTATATCTATACGTCCGTCCGTCCATCCATCCATCCATTTATGTATCTCTCTATCTATCTTTGTAAACAGGGTATTCTTACCTACATAATTTTAAGAGCACCGATACTAAATTAAAAATGGTATACTCAGACATTTGGCATTTTGCAATTACTCTCAGTATATAATATTTGTTTGGATTTTGATACTATTTTTACTTATGAAAAAAAGAACACAGTTGGAAATCTAATCGGGTAGGGCCTGTTTAAATGCTCAGTAATGGCACAAAGACTGCAACTGACAAATATGAGCAGCCAAGACAGATGACATAGATGACATTTATGTTCATGAGTAACAGGTTAACGCATAGTCCAG